CAACTCCCAGAATTCCTGAGCCAGCATGGGGGAACTATGGCCCCTTCATGATTTGTGGACTTCAACTCCCAGAATTCCTGAGCCAGCATGGGGGAACTACGGCCCCCTTGATGACTTCTGGACCAACTCCCAGAATTCCTGAGCCAGCATGGGGGAACTATGGCCTCCTTCATGATTTGTGGACTTCAACTCCCAGAATTCCTGAGCCAGCATGGCTCAGCTTGGAAACCTCTCCCTTTCCCCTCAGCATGGCTGGCTCAGGAATTCTGGGAGTTGAAGTCCACGAGTCATAAAAGAGCCACGGTTGCCTACCCCTGGTATAGGGTCTCCTGCCTGAACAGGGGGTTGGACTAGATGACCTCCAAGGTTCCCTTCCCTCCCTGCTTTTTCTGTATTTTGTATCTTGACTTGATCCGGCCAGGCCCCTGTGGATAACCCTGCTGAGTGTGGCTAGGCTTAATCTTGGTTAATCTTGTCAACACGTCTGCTATAGGCGACCGACTTAGAACGCCCCACAGACGAAGGTCATTCGATCAGACAGGGGTTGCTATCGCACAAATCCCGAAAATGGGTCCATTCAGTGAGGTGGTTAGGGCATCTTACGAAGGCAACTATTATCAGGCTGGGTTTCTCTTCCTCTAGCTCTCCTCCTCTCTCATTTTCCCATTAAATCTAAATTAGATCCAGACAGAAAACAGCTCTATTCGTCTACGGAAGAGATAAAGACAGAAGCTAACTATCAATAAAAAAAAAAAAGAGAGATGGGGAGAACACATTTCTCTAGCTGTAACAAACACGTGTTCAAAGATGGGACGCAAACAGAGAAATATATCTTTTTTTCCCCTAAGTGCCTTGATCTAATTGTCCCTCACCCCCACCCCATAGACGCACAATACACATATACGTATACACGCGCACAAACACAGGTTGTCTGAGGTTCAGAATCTCGACACTGAGGTTTTTCAGGAGCTACACTGTTATAGGTAAACTTTTAAATTTTCTACAACTACACAGCAGGAGCAAAACAGTGTGGGGTCTATTTTGGGGGAGGCCAGTCCATGTTGCATCCCCCCCCCCCCCGATTTCAGTCCAGAGTGGAAACACAATAGGAATCTGTTGCATCGCCTTGCCTGAGAAATGGTCTTCCTTGGAAGAAACGCTGATGGGATGGGCTTCCTTCTTTTTCGGAATCTGCCAGCGTGGGAAGAAATGAACAACAAGCAAAAAATTAGAAGGGGGGGACGGAAGGAAACAGTCTCCCACCCGCAATTCAGTCGGTGAACAATTCGTAGTAGTGAAAGAACATTTGTAGGATGTGTGTATGTGTGAGGGGGGGAGAGGGAGGGAGAAGAACACATCCATTCAAAGCCTAAATCTCAGATCCAGAATTGGGATTAATTGGGAGATAGGATCATTTCTTAGCCTCAGCTAGAGTTACAG